TGCCACCAGACTTGAAATTCTAGACCTAGAAAACCTAGAACTACGCCCCCTTCGGTCCAATCTAAGTACAGTATATAAAATCATACATTGTAATGTCCTACCAGTCAATGAATACTTCAGCTTCAATCATAACAATACAAGAGCAAACAATAGATACAAACTCAAGGTTAATCGCACCCTCTCGGAGGCTCAAAGAAAGCCTCTGAAGCCCAGGGAGAGCAAAACGCCCCTCCACACCATGGTGCAGGAGACCGACTAGGCCACCATGGCCACGGCCACCCAGCAACTGGGCAAAGAACCCATTGGTAAAATTTTTGAAGTCCACCCCGATATAATGCCTAAGAACATAATAGTGTTTTCTTTTATAGATTTGTGCCTTCAAGTCAGGAAGGGAGGCAGAGAGGTAGAGAGAGAGAGAGACAGAGAGAAACAGAGACAAAGAGACAGAGAGACAGATTGAATTGAATGGTAGCATACATCCGCGTCTGGTTTTTTATTTTGCTTTGTTTTGTTGTTTTGTTTTATCCATCTGAAGTCCACTGTCAGGAAAACTGTTCTTAGATGGCATGAAAACAAAATGAAAAATTAATTAGTTTTTCTTCTCTGACCTCATAGTTTTCTCTCTAATTTCAGAGCTAGATAGCCTATTTATCCAACCAAAATGAAGGCAACAACACAAGGGAAAAAAAATGATGACCAATATTTCCTGCCTTCTTAATTTCCACAATTTTAAAAAAATCAGTGCAAATGAATGAATAGTAAGCCATCTAGATACTTCTGTTAAAGTTGTGTTCCTCTGTTTTTGGAAGAAATCCCGAACTTTAAACACACACAAAAAGGCATGTGTTTAGAAGAAAAAAATAATTGGAAGATTAAGCTTTTTCTGAAAAAGCCATGCCATGACCTATTTCTGTAGGCCACTACGCTTGAATTCCAAGTAATTCTGTCTGTCTCTTTGTCTGATTCCTGTATTTATTTTGAAATTTCTCTCCTGTCCCCTGTCCCCCTGGACTTTGAGACTTCCCCATCTCTGTTGTTTGTGAACATACTGATATCATTAACGGAAGATACTCCGAGAATAAATAAAACAGAACATGATGTAAATAATAGAGCCCGACAGGTTGGAATGAAGCTTGCATGATCTAAAGATGGAAGTATTGATTGCCACAGGAGAGCACTGGTGGTGGTTGAGTTTAATAAATTTTACATTATTTTCATTACTTTGTTAAGATACAAACTGTTGTGTTGCATGTTGTGGAAATAATTTGATCTCCATAGCACCAACCAAGAAATCTGTTCTTATTTCTTCTGTTATTTGAAATAACAGGATAGGTCAGCTTTGCAAAATCCCAGGAATTCAAGACAAATATTTTTTTCTGATATGCTTTTTTATCCCCATGTCCAGTTATGCCTGGTATAATAATATAATAATCTTGAACAGGTAAGGATCCCTTGCAAACCACTCAGCATTTTTATTTTGTCGATAAAAAACAATAATGAAGAATGTAATAATAAACAGAAACAGGACAGATGCACAGGTTTAACTGTGCTATTTTTGTTTATGAGGACAAGGCTGACAAATACAATGCGGCATCATTCGATAATTTCTTACCTTCTGATGCGTGAAAGAATTTTCTAAATAGGTATTTGCACCTACACTTAGAAAGAATTGCATTTTTGCACATTTGCACACTACAGCTAGTCCCAAAATTCAAGAAAGAGTAGTATTATTTCAGAAACTAAATTTCAGTGGACATGAGATTTTCTGTACAAACATTTTTTTTCTTTTCAGATTTTGTTCTGTTGTACTTTATTAATTTATTTGATTATTTCTGATAGTTTTTATTGTTTTTTGTTTTAAATATAGTTTTACATTCTGGGAGCTGCCTCGAGTCGCCATGGGCAAATAGGCAGAAATAAAAATTCAATAAATAAATAAAATAATAAACATTTAGTTAGCGTATTGTTTTTATTTTTAAGAATACAGGTAGTCCTCAACTTATGACCAAAATTGAACCCAATTTTTTTCTTGTTAAGTGAGACATTTGTTAAGTGAGTTTTGTCCCATTTTACAATTTTTCTTGCCACGCTTGTTAAGTGAATCACTGCAGTTGATAAATGAGTAATCCGGTTGTTAAATGAGTCTGGCTTCCCCATTGACTTTGCTTGTCAGAAGGTCGTAAAAGGGGATCCCATGACCTTGGGACCAGGGGTGTGTTTCTACCGGTTCTGTCCACCTCTGTAGAACAGGTAGCTCTGAAGAGCAGCAGACATAGAACCGGTTCTATGTCTGCTGATGTTTTTGTCCACCCGCCCACCCAGGCTCTTACCTGACCTTTATTTCCTGATTTTTCAACTTCAGCTGCCTTGTAAGCATAGCTGTAGTTAAAAAAGCAGGAGAAGAGGGTTGTTTCAAAGGCTGCTTCTCTGCATGCAGCGTGCTGATGACGATTTACAGGCATACGCGCAGCATGCAGAAAAGCACATCATAAATCATCGAATCTCATAAATCACCACACCAGTAGTTAACCCTGTTGTATCCCACCCCTGCTTGGGACACAGCAATGGTCCTAAATATGAACCAGCAGCCAAGCACCTGAATTTTGATTGCATGTTTATAGGGATGCTGCAAAGGTCATAACTGTGAAAAATGATCATAAGCCACATTTTTCAATGTCGTTGTAAATGAACCATTGTAGGTCGAGGACTTCCTGTGTGTGTTTTGAGATGAAAAATATGTTTATTGATGTCATAACAAGTATCAGTTATATTTCCCCCCCTCCAAAATCGGACTCCAACAGTAGGTACAAAAAAGGCAACCACAGGATTAACAGAGTTGGAAGGGACCTTGTAGGTCATCTAGTCCAACCCCTGCTCAAGCAGGAGACCCTACACCATTTCTGACAAATGGCAGTCCAATCTCTTCTTGAAACTCTCAAGTGATGATGCTCCCAACAACAATGCAAGCTGTTTCATTGGATGATTGTTCTCACTGTCAGAAAGTTTCTCTTTATTTCCAGGTTGAATTTCTCCTTGTTCAATTTCCATCCATTATTCTTTGTCTGGCCTTCAGGTGCGTTGGAAAATAGCTTGACCCCTTCTTCTCTGTGGCAGCCCCTCAAATAGTGGGTGGGTGGGTGGGTATAGGTGTGGGTGTATTTGTTACAAATGATAAATGCAGCATTGCAATGATGCAACAGATGCCCACTTATTCATGCATCCTGTCACTATACCAACCCTTGGATAGATGAAGTTTGCATCACAACAGCAGAACACCGCTTTTGTTCACGGTGACAAATAAAACTGGATCTGGTGGATTTCTCTGGTGCCACCCTATACAGAATCTGTCCCGCGCAGCTCTTTCTGGAATCTTTGTAACTGATTTCAGAATGCAACAGGCTCTAACTTCACTCCAATAACTATTTTGTTCTAATTCATAACCTGGTTTCTAAACTATGTTATTAATTGACGTCTAATCCATCTGTGGAATCTTTACCAGCAGCAGCAACATCCATTCCCATGTCTAACTGTTGGTTCACACTCATATTTCCTCCAATTATTACCACTCTAACTTAATTTGATTAGTAATTATGGGAATACCGATCCTCCTTACGCCTTGAACCATCAGCATAACATTTAAAATATGTGGGAAATATGTGTTCCTCTAAGTAATTCTCATTTAAATGCAGGTAGTCCTTGACTTGTGATCACACTTGAACCCAAAATTTCTTTTGCTAACTGAAACATTTGTTAAGTGAGTCTTGTCTCATTTTATGACTTTTCTTGCCAGATGTTAAGTGAATCACCACAGTTGTTAAGAGAGTAACACGGTTGTTAAGTGAATTGGGCTTCCCCATTGACTTTGCTTATCAGGATCACAAAAACTGCTCAAATGACTTCAGGACACAGCAGCCATCATAAATACGAGTCAGTTGGCCAAGCATATGAATTTTGATCACGTGACCAAGGGGGGTACTGCAATGGTCGTAAGTGTGAAAAACGTCATAAGTCACTTTGTTCAGTGCCATTATAATTTTGAACCGTCACTAAATAAACTGTCGTAAACCGAGGATTATCTATATGGGTAACATTTTTTTCCCCTATTCGTAATGTTCCTATAGTGGGACGTGGTGGCTCAGTGGCTAAGACACTGAGTTTGTCGATCAGAAAGTTCTGCAGTTTGGGGGTTCGAATCCCTAGCGCCACATAATGGAGTGAGCTCCTGTTACTTGTCCCAGCTTCTGCCAACTTAGCAGTTTGAAAGCATGTAAAAATGCAAGTAGAAAAGTAGGGACCACTTGGTGGGAAAGTAACAGCGTTCCGTGCGCCTTCAGCATTTAGTCATGCCAGCCACATGACTACAGAGACATCTTCAGACAGAGCTGGCTCTTCGGCTTTTTAATGGAGATGAGCACCAGCCCCTAGAGCCGGAAATGACTCGCATGTATGTGTGAGGGGAACTTTTACCTTTACCTTTAATGTTCCTATGGCTTATCCTCAAAATGAACTGGGCACATCTTGTTAAAGATAAACCTCTGGAACCATTTTTAAAAACTGTGTACTACCCTGTTTAAATTAAGGTATGGAATGATTTTGTAATCTGACTGAAGTTTCTTTGAAATATGCCCGTTATCAATAAAACTTGGGGTCAATACCCTATCTGGGAATTTGGCCTTGTACATACTGTAAATGAAGCCAAGGAGAGTACATGCTCCCCAAACCAAATTCTTTGGATGCAAGATTGAGAATTGGACTTGCACGTGTTTATCACCGACTGCAGTGAAAGCACCAGCATATATTGTTCTTTAGGATTTTGGCCCCTACTTCCTATCCCACATGATATTTTTATTTAAATATTTGTTTACTTCATGCTTCCATTCTTCCACAGGACTCCCAGCCAAAGTGTGCTCTTCGCTAAGTAAAGAGCAGAATTGCTGGACAAATCAGTAACCCAAGTGGTGTCTGACAGCTAAGACTTTGGAGGAAACAGAGGTGAAAAGATGGGAGCCTGTCGGAAGAGGAAAGCTTTCGTGGAGGAGAACACCGCTGTTTTTCTGAGGAGAAAGATCACTCTTACTCGGGCCATTGCGTTGGCTGTAGGCTCCATGGTGGGCAGTGGGATCTTCATTTCTCCTAAAGGAGTGTTGCAAAACTCAGGCAATGTAGGGGTCTCATTACTTTTATGGCTCGCTTGTGGGATTCTGTCTCTGTTTGGTGAGTTGTGTAGCTTTCATTTTTTTAAAAAAAATGTTGATTTTTTTATATTTGAAAAACTCAAAATATTAGAAAATATCTAGATTACAGGTCTCCAAACTTGGCAACTTTAAGACTTGTGGAGTCTTAATGGCTGGAGAATTCTGGGAGTTGAAGTCCACAAGTCTTAAAGTTGCCAAGTTTGGGGACCCCTGATCTAGATGATAGATGCATTAGATAGAAAGATAGATGATAGATAGATAGATAGATAGATAGATAGATAGATAGATAGATAGAAAATGATAGATATAGATGATAGATAGCTGATGATTTTTTACAAAAAATGGGGCTCCAGTAGGAAGAAGGATAATCTAATATTTGAATTGAGATGAGGAATATGTGGCTTTTACTGGCTTCCAATTATCACTTTGGGCCAGTGAAGCAGCAGGGGGCCATTATGGACCACAGGGCAATGAGAAACTGTTGCTCGCAGTATGGGGAGGAAATGCATGCATTTCTATCATGGAAACAGGCCTGTTTATGCCTGTCAGCTATGGCTTTCTTCTGCCCTACAGGAAAGCTTCTTTTCTTCTCAATCTATCTCTTTCATATTAAACATGGGGGGGGGGGGAGAGATAGGGGGAAAAGGGAGAAATGACAGTGTGTATGCCAAAGAATTACTCTCTATTCCATGCTAATTTTTCCCAAATGAACATTCATGTCCCTACCCCCTCTTTGCCTGTCAAGTGTTGAAGACTTAATGTGTTTTGGATGGCATAGATTAAGAGGCTCACTCCCTTCAGATGGGCACTGTATGCCTTGTTCCCTGAATTTCTGTTTGCATATGAGGTTTCTCTTTCCTTTGGCTCAAAACAACTGCCTCTTTTTCGCATCTATAAGCCTCAGGGGTCTATGCTGCTTATCATCGCCAAAGAAAGAGGATGAAAGAGGGTAGCAATTTTCTAAATGTTTACATTTACCGATATATGTCTTTTGATGTAAACTTAGCAGCTCTTCTATCTTTAAATAGAGATAAAATGCATTTTACTATAGGGAGGAAGAGGCTACGTGTGCTCAAATGCTAAGCTTTGATGAACCAGGCTCCCACTCCCCATTTGTGTGGTTCTTCTTTTTTTAAAAAGCACAAACTGCTAGGTATCTCTTCAAATAAAAGGACATGCTCCAATCGAAGCTCATCCTGTGAAAAGTAAAGCAGATGGGCAGCCTGTACACCTTGTAATAAGTCAGACTGGTGTAGCCCTATAAAATTGCATACCGTACACCACGGGTGGTTCGGACCAGTTCTATAGAATTGATTGTTATGATTTTGTGCAGTTCAGAGAACCGGCAAATCATGCCCCGGGCTGGCCCCGCCCTCTCCGCCCACCCCTCCCCTCCCTGCCCAGTCAGTCCTTATCCCGCATGAACAACATCGCATGCATGCCCAACATCGCTCACTGCGCCCAACATCGCTCACTTCTTCCTCTCCTTGGGGGGAAATATATTCACAGTGATAATTACGGCATCTTTCCAGAAATCAATTTCATCTCAATGTGTTCAGTTAGTTATTCACTTGGGCGAAAATTATTGTCCAATCTTTTCGGGTCCAAGGGTCACTTTTGCTCTTGTATTAGTTTACCGGTGAATCATTTCCAAAACTGGGATGCTGATAAATTCAAACAACCAAATAAACAAAATAGAAACTGAGGGACTATCTCAGGGCCAAAATACCCTCTGGATTTGATTTCATTTACTTTGAAGCATAACAAATTATTAAGGATTTGTGCCCCAGTTGTTTTATATCACTCTGTGTTGCATTAAACATTACAGGTATTAATAGTCTCAACACAAAGGTATCCCTAGTTTAAAATGTGGCATTGGTGAACAAGATAAGGTGTTAGGACCAAATATGGCTCAACATGGCCTCAAATGTCTACATTACATGTGGAGAAAGATCCATTGAGTTCAGTGGAACTTTGTCCCAGGATGACGGATATGATTTACAACTCAGTTTTTTGGTTGATTTCCAGGTGCTCTGTCCTATGCAGATCTCGGAACATGTATTACAAAGTCAGGCGGGCATTATATTTATCTTTTAGAGACTCTTGGACCATTGCCGGCTTTCCTCCGATTGTGGGCTGAATTTATTATGATACGGTAAGGACAGCTTTTCTTTCCCTTCCTTGTCTAAAAAAGGAAGGAATGCCAGATGATGGGAAGATTTATTGGGAGCTTTGTCTCTTTAAATCTCTCAATGGGGCATGTTCCAGCTGTGTTTTTAAAGGCAGACAGCTGGTGAATGGAGCACCACTGAGATCTAACAAATGTTTGGAAGGAGGGAGGGAGGAAAGCATCTGAGAATGACAAGGAACAGTGGGGAAGAACAAAGAATGGAAGCAATAATAGAGAAAGCTCTAGGGAAACTCCAGATCAAAAACAATCACAAACCAAAGACCTCTCCCTTTCAGTCATAAGATGGATGGTTTTCTTCATTTCTTACGGGGCAGTTACCGCTGCCCTGCTTGCAATAAACTAAAGGCCTGCCTCTCTGGCTCTATAAAAATCAATTTGGGATTGATTGAATGACATTGTCCGCCCCTTCCAAGCCAGATCGCTCCTCGATCAACTGAACTGTCTTCCAGGGAACATCTGGGAGCTGCAGACTTGAAAGAGATTCCTGCAGCTGGTGGATGACAAGTCTTGCATCTATAGAGTAGATCCACTCCTATTTCAGGCCAAGACAATGATTCTGCAAGAATCTTACCTCACCATGATCAGAACCACCAATCCAGATTTATTTCCTTCCAGCAGAGTTCACAGAGAGAGTATGGTAAAAAAAAAAATGGCGATTGTGATGTTGCATCAAAACTTGAGCTTTTTTTATATGTAATGTATACAAAAATGGATGGAGCTATAATTCCAGTCATCTTGACTCGTTTGACCATATACTATGGACAATCTTGCTCCTTTTCTTTTTGTTATTATATTATCATAAAAATCATAAGCCAGAAGAGAATAGCACAGATTGTAAAAAACTATTATTAATATGTTAAAATTATTAGTTTGTTATAATAATAATTTAGCATGTTGGCTGAACCTAATGACTTGGGATTTGTATTTAGTTATGTGATTTATCTACTGACTGAAACCTGCTAGGCTCTAGGTAGCTTATAGAATTCACAATATAAACTAAAATATAAAAGCAATATTTAAACACTAAATGATATAGTATTTTTAATTTAAATATTAAGAACAATAAAAAATGACTAAAGCCAGAAGTGGTTTATTTCACTGTAACTGAACCAAACCATGACTTGGAGCAACGTGTGGACCAAGTCCACCATTTTGATTAAATGATAAGCTTTGGTCTGCCACACATTAGAACATTTCTCATTGTTTCATTCTCCTCATAGAGGAGAAAGGATGAGAAAGATCTTGAGTTCTCCTCATGTTCTATCCAATCTTCCAGATGGATATTTCTGAAAGCAGACACTATTTTCACTTCATTTCACTTACAGATTTTTCACAAGTGAAAATCCACAAGCCCTCAACAGAAGCAAAGTTGAGAGAAGCCAACAAAAAAGCAAAATATTTGTATCTGATATTCTGTCATTTCTGATTTTTATATTCCAGTCCTGCAAATATGGCTGTGGTGTCTTTGGCATTTGGTCGATACCTCATTGAGCCTTTCTTTGCTTCTTGCCATGTCCCTCCTCTGGCTGTGAAATTGGTCACGATGGCAGGAATTAGTGAGTATTAGTGAATGCAAGATCAAACACCTTGTAGTTTATTATCAATAAACAGGTATTTACTACCCAGTCTTTAGTATCAATGTTTTTTTTTAAGTATCTTTGCTCTGTAGTAAGATAAACAACTGGAAGATTTAATAAATAATTAATAATTTAATGCCACCAGACTCAAAATTCTAGACCTAGAAAACCTAGAACTACGCTGCCTTCCGTCTGATCTAAGTATAGTATATAAAATCATACATTGCAACATCCTACCTGTCAATGAATACTTCAGCTTCAACCATAACAACACAAGAGCAATCAATAGATATAAACTCAAGGCTAATCGCACCAAACTTGATTGCAGGAAATACGACTTCAGCAACAGAGTGGTCAATGTCTGGAATACTCTACCTGACTCTGTGACTTCTTCCCCAAACCCCCAAAACTTTAACCTTAGACTGTCTCCTATTGACCTCACCCCTTTCCTAAGAGGTCTGTAGGGGGTGTGCGTAAGCGCACCAACGTGCCTACCATCCCTGTCCTATTGTTTCTTTTATTTATTTTTATTTTTCTTATATGTATCCATGTATCCAAAAACTATGTTTTTATTTATACCTATTATCTTGTAAGCAATTGACAAAAATAAATAAAAATAAATAAATAAAAATAACTACTTACTGCAGAATGATTCTGATCATATCTATGAAGCTAGATTTGTACAGGAATAGTTCATGTACAGGAATAGTTGATGAACATAGAATCCAAAATTTGCTAAGTTGATGTCCCACGTTCTATTTCTAACATGTAACTCAGGCAGGGCAGAGTGAAAATCCTGTAGCAATGATTAATATAAACCTAGCTCATTTATTTTGACGAAGGGTTAACACACATGATGAACGCTGATATGGTTTGTTTGGTTTTGGTTTATCATATGGTGTGAACACAGGCTTTGGAGATTTGTAAACCAGGTTTTCTACTTCATGTTTTATCTGTATTCAGCCAATAGTGGTTTGTTCAACCAACTATCGTTTAGCATGATTTGTGAACTCAGTGGTTTTTCTCAGTCCTCAGGGTTTTTCTCAACCCTAGCTGTTGGGGAGGGGAGGGTTGTGGTTTGTCTAGAAGTTCATAAGTTTTTCTTTTCTTTTAAAGTACAAGCTGCCTATTATCACTCTGAAATCAGGTGGTCTCCAAATATAATAAATAAAAAGAAATATAAATCCCTTTGTTAATAGAAATATCTATCATTCTCCCAGATATCAATAATTTCATTCAGATGCTTCAAACTGTGCAGTCTCTCAAATACTCAGAATTGTCATATGATTTCCTTAAACTCGTTCCATCCACACACATAACTGGGTATGTTCAAATCACACATTAGAGCCAAATTCACCCAGCTAATTTATTCAAGGATGCAATTACTTTTTGTTCAGCCCCAATGTTAGAACTCTATTTAGCGTTGTAAGCTAATGTTTTTGTGATTTTATGAGCCCTGGTGGCATAGTGGTTAAAATGCAGTATTGCAGGCTAACTGTGACCACAGTCTGGAGTTCAATCCTGATGGGGCTTGAGATTGATTCAACCTTCCATCCTTCTGAGGTAAAATAAGGGCCCAGATTGTTGGGGGTAATATGCTTATTTTGCAAACCACCTAGAGAGTGCTGTAAAACAGTAAGTGGTAGTAAATAAATCTAAGTGTTTTTGCTATTTGTGAAATCTTCCAATCCAACAACCTCTCAACCCAACAAGACCCATATGAACAAAGGTTCACCAAAAGTTAACTAAATCCTCTAATTGTTCTATGTTAGAGGAAAACTATGCTGAGCTCTAATTTCGCCTACCTGATATTAACTTCTATATAATTATTTTCCATTCTTTGTATTTCATCTTTTTTATTTATTTCCTATTTCCAGTGTTATGAAACAATACTGAACATTTTATAATTACCAGTCATCCTATAAGTCCCTAATGCCAGAAAATCTTTTCTTACTCTATCTTCCTCTTTAAAATATATATTTGTTCTTTAAGCATCATATCTGTTAATACTTCATACATTCTTTATAAAATAGTCTTGTTAAAATTCTATTCATCTCTAGAAGCATAGAAGCAGTCACTCTTTCTTGTGGTTGAAAGGAACTTCCATTTATACCTTATTCCACTTTTTTATAGTTTTTCTGTGAAAGATTTGAAGGCTTTTCTTCTTTGTAATATGGCCAGATTATAATGTTTGGAGATAAAATATACAGTTAATCAGTCTTTTCTACAAGTTCCAAAATCATTTCTTTTATTCTGATCCTGGGTATCATTTTAATGTCTGTAATATCTTTTTGAACTCTTATAGTATCAAACACATTTTTTGTAGAGGCAACAGAAGTCTGGGCAACTTCTGAAACTTGAGAAGAAAATTATTTTCACTGAATTTATTAGCAACATATCTACTGTCATCTGTTGGATCATATTAGCTAACTTACTACATTCCACCTTAATATCTGTTCAGTTGCTTAATTGGTTTTCCTATCAAATCAGTTTAGAGTTTCATCCTGAACAGTGATTAATTTTTGTGCACTCTTTCAGAACATTCTCCCTCATCAAATCTTCATTACTAGAGCGGAGTGCACTTCAACTACTTTTAAATCAATTGTGTAAGCTTCTGCCTTTTGTGAATTATCTTCATAAGTTATATTTTTTATTACAAATATTGCCAATCAGTTGGATAGTAATCAAATACAAACAGTGAAAATTATTGGAAAAGCTGGATTGGTAACACAATCAGTTCAATACACCATCTTCTCCAGAGGCTAACCATCCCTCATCTCCACCAACAACGTAATCCTAAATTTATATTTCCTTCTCTATAGGAAAGTTAGACAGAAAATTATTTAGTAATCCATGATTGAAGCAAACCATGCTTAGTAGTGCAATGTGTGACTAAGAAAGTAATCTGAATTCAGCTTCTTCCTGTGCTCAGCTTAACAGCTACTATTTGACACCATTAAAATCTTAGCATATATTAGATCGTTGTTTGTTCAGGAATTCTAATAGTTGCATTCATGCTGCAAAGACATGCTCTGCACTATCAACACCCTATAATGTGGTACCTTTGCCCATCAGAGTTCACTGCATGGAAAGTCCCCTCAAATTGGTATAGAAGTTGTGGAACAGACAACATATATATAAGTACCTTGATGGATCATTATATTCAGTAAGTGGATGATGTGAAAAAAGTCATGTTAACTCTCTGGAATGTAGTTGCTTATTCAAGGCAGATCAAAGACATCTCTTTGCATAAATCTATTAAACAACATTGGAAAGATCAGTCAACCAATATGCAGCAACATATTTTTGTTATGTATAGCTAGCTAATATTTTCATTAGTGTTTTTTTTAAATTACAGTAAACAGGAAATAAGAGTTTCAAGCAATCTGATTAATATTTAATTATTTTGTTAACCATTTAGGCCATTTTCTTTTATTTCATATTTTTTATTCTATCATGTTGACCCAGTATCCATCCTTTTCTATTAGTTAGCTTAATATAATAGTTTCAAAGATCTCACTTGCATAATTTTTAAGATTAAATTATTTGCTGCAAGGAAATCTGGCTTGCTTTCAGGCTTACGGAGTGCTCCTATCCAAATTGATTGTAGAGATTCTCAGTCGTCCAGGTCATAGTTGTCCCAAAGGTGCTTTTTCAGGAGGCAAGTGGACTTTCTTATTTTTTCTTTTGAAGATGAAAAAATCCAAGAAAGTCCAGTTGCTTCTTGAAAAAGCACTTTTGGGACAACCATGACCTGGATAACTGAGAATCTCTACAGACTTTTAGCTATACAATTTCGGATGAACACCCTGGTATGGGAGTAGGAATGGATTTTCAGAGGAAAAATTGACTACAGGAACCAGGATCACTACTCAAGTGACCCTGAGGACACAGATAAACCTCCAAGTCCTTCAATGACCCTCTAAAACAAGGGTGTGAAACTCACGACAGGATGCATCATGCACTGGCCATATCCGGTTTAGTGGAGGGGGGGAAGTCACAATACATCATGTGACAATGCTGTGATGATGCGAGTTTGACACCCCTGCTCTAAAAGGAGCTAATGACCAGCTGTCTGCAAGGAATATAAATCCTTCCACTCCGCACTATCCTGTTGGAGCTGAAGAAGCGTCTTGGATGAGAAGCGAAATGTCTTTAACAGAAAAAACAAGGAAGTCCAGTTGCCTGTTGAAAAAGCACCTTTGGGATCCAAACTGATTGTTATCACTTTATTTAGTTTTGCAATTATGATATAGGAAAGGCCTAATTGAAAGTATTATTAAATCGCCCTATGAAGCTCTGATTGTTTTCTCTCTCTCTCTCTCCCAATTCAGCCGTAGCAGTAGCCCTGAACTGTTGGAGCGTGAGTTGGGCTGCCAAAGTACAGACAGGGCTCACTGTCCTGAAGATGATTACTGTGGGTCTAATTATTGTTCCTGGGATCTTGGCTCTTGGAAATGGTAAGACTAATCAGAAATCTCATGAGGAATGAGATTAAAGGGAGCATTAGAAGAAACGGAGGATGCCAAAATTATAACAGACAACAACAACAAAAACTCCAAAGAGCTATTGGAAAGATAAAGACCATAGGAAAGAGAGATAGAAGACACCTAGGGACTGACCATTCTCAGAAACACTTGAACGTTTGCTTTTTGATCCTTTATTTGAAGGGTTATCTTATCCAAATTAGACTTAATTAGTCTAATTAGTTAGTCTAAGGCAGGGGTGTCAAACTCAAATTCATCGAGGTCTGCATCACGGTTGTGTTTGACCTGGGTGGGATGGAGGGCGTGGCCAAGGGGCGTGACCAGCTCGATATCCCTCGTGTGATCAAATGCCACTTTGCTAGTAGTTTGCTTTGCTAGCATTCTGCCGGTGAAAACAGAGCTTGCGCATGGCTCCATTTTTGCTCGCAGAGGCACTGTTTTCACTGTTTCCAGGGCAGCCCTTTGGGCCAAATCTAAGCACCCTGCGGGCTGGATTCAGCTTGTGGGCCTTGAGTATGACACCCCTGGTCTAAGGTGCCAAGAGCCTTTTTGTTGTTCTTAAAGATTCATGCATGCATTGAACTAATGTAGTTTCAGCTAGCTCAGCTTTCTTGTTCTTTTTCAGAGATATACATCTACAACCCCCAGAATTCCACAAAGCTGTATTATTAGATTCCAGTTTTTAGTCTCTACTAATATGGTCACTGTTAAGGGTTTTTAAGAAGAGACTAGACAGTATAGGTTCTCCTGCTTGAGCAGGGGGCTGGACTAGATGGCCTCCAAGGTCCCTTCCAGTTCTATTTTATTCTAAGGCATGGCTGACTGTGAGTAAGGGAACTGGAACTGTGTAACATTTAGTCTCAATGAAGTTGTCAAAGCAGGACCCAAAGGGCAAGGATCCTTCACACATGCTTCTGAGATTCCACCAGCAATTCTTTCTCCCCTTGTTTCCTGTTCTGGGCAAATAAATATGATATGAAATGGAAAGTTTTTCTATTGTTTAATTTCCTTGCCAGACATTGATGTTGATACTCTCTTCCTCTCTCTCTCTCTCTCTCTCTCCCTCCC